TCTCATTCGAGATAAGCAGGTGAAGTCACCCTCAGCCCTCCATTTCTCCGAAGGCGACCGGGTTGAATCCAAGTCCAAGGAGGCCAGCCATTCTTCTTCCCGTGCTAAGGGCCAGAAAAGGAAAGGGTCCCAAAAGAGCTCCAAGGGAGACAGGAAGAAGAAGGTCAGGTTATCAGATACGGAGGGGGAGTCCATCGAAGAAGCCTTCCTATCCCTGGCCAAAAAACTCAGCAAGGTACTTCATCTTTGGTTTTCCTCCCGGTTAGAATATTTCCTTTGCATTTATTGATGTATCTCTTTTTTGAATTTATAGGCCGGGGTCATTTCAGAAGAGATTGGCCAAAGTCTGTTGGAGCCAAAAGACCAGGTCTCTCAACTCACCATCCTCCTTGATTCTGCCAAGTTGGAGATCAATGACCGGGCAGAAAGGGAGAGGAGGCTCGAGGAAGAGTTGAAGGAAGAAAGGGCTCGGTTTGCCCTTCTGGAGGAGGAAAGGAAGAGAAAGATCGCCGAGCTCGAGGATGCGCTGGGCCAGGCTCTGCCCGGGCAAAGGAGGAGGCCTTTCCCTCTGAAGCTGCTGATTGGGCTGCGTGCCATCACACGGAGGTTGCCCGGTCCCTTCTCACTACCCCGGAGGAAATCATGGACTTTTTCAAAGTCATGTATCAAGAGCCAGAGGGGAAGAGGATGATAACGAAGATAGGGTCTTATGGATTCCAGTGTGGCCAGAAAGATGAGAGGTCTCTTCTCTATGCCAGACTTCTGAAGAGGGACCCTTCCTTTGACCCGGCCAAGATGAAGCTTCCGGCTCTATACAATGAAGAGCCGGCTCCCCCCTTTCCCCTAGAATAGGTTAGGGCTTGACAAAATAAAAAAACTTTGAATTTTCCCAAGGCCTGGGGGATGTCCGGCCTATTTCTGACTTGTGTAATATCATTTTTTGTTTGGCATGGTTTTCAATTTACCGGCTTGTTCCTTCTTTTATTTTGCATGGTTTGTTTCTTGCATGGTAGCTTTTCTTTTCTTTTTCTTGATCGCCTTCGAATGAACTTCCAAGTCAATAAAACTAACCGGCCTTATACCTTAGGAATCGTTTTTAAAAAATGTCCAGGCCATCTCATGTCCTGGTCCTGAAAACGTCCAGGCCTCATTGGCTTGGTTGACGATTTTATTGAATATGCTTGATTCCAAGTCAAAAGAAGTAACCGGCTTTATCCTTTGTAGTTGTCCAGGTCACCTCATGTCCTGGTCTTTGGTTAACGCCTTAGAAACGTCTAGGTTTGGTAGGCTTTGTTGACAGCGTCCAGGTCAATTCCATCTCTTGAAAATGTCCAGGTCATGTTACGTCCTGGTCAAGTACAAGCCTTGAAAACATCTAGGTCTTGCAACCTTAAAAATGTCCAGATCTTGTGGCCTGACTGGTCTTCTGGACCGGCTTGTGTTTAGGTTGAACTGCAACAAACGTCCAGGTCATCTCATGTCCTGGTGTAGTAGGCTAGGTTGAAAGTTTAGAAGACCACTTTAGACGCAAGGCTTGAAAACTTCCAGGTCATCTCATGTCCTGGTCTCTTGACTTGAAAACGTCTAGGTCGGTTTCTTCCTCGCCTGTTTCCTGACCCAGTCAACTTCCACGTTCTAATGGCTTGGTTGCAATATGTAACCAGCATGACGTCAAATTTCCTGTCCAGGTGCCGGGTCAAAAATGTGACCGGTCAAAAAATATTTTTTCCAGTTTTGTCTGATTTCATCAAATCCGCCAACTAAAAAGTGACCGGTCACTTTTCTCAAAGTTGACCGGTCAAATTTTATTTTTTTCCCATTTGCATTTTCTTGTCAATCCAGAACATCAAAAAGTGACCGGTCACTTTTGACTATGCCACCTTCTTTTCCCCCTCTGGCCTGGGTGTCATGCCTAACAGCAACCTTGCTTAAATTTCGAACGAATAATCCGAAACGGTTTTGGAATCAAGTCTCAACATCAAGACCCGAACTTTCTTCGGAGATTTTGACCATGTCCTATGATCGCGAACCCTCTCCAAGGTTCAGCCCTCTTCCAGGCAACACCCTTCTTCCAGGGCCCCTCTTCCAGGTTTTAAGTTTTTTAATGTGTCATTCTCTAATCATTAGGTTGACCTAGCCAACCCAATCTTCCCACGTGGGGGTATGCCGGTGAGAACCAGCCCTCATCCGATCTTACATGTCCATATGTTATGCGTTTGAAGTGAATTCTAGTCTTCCCTAGACCCTTCAATCCGCAATGGATGGCTCATGCAAGACGGTAATCATTTTTTACTTTGGCATCTTTTTGCCCCTATCCGAATGAAAATTTGGTAGGGATCCATGTAAGTATGGACGCGAGTCCTCTTCCAGACCCAGCCTATCTCAAGGCCATACCTCAACATCAAGGCCCCTATCTCAAGGGTTTATCTTTTTTTTTTACCTTGCCTCTTACATCAAGACATTAGTTTAGTATTACTGACCCAGCAACACTAGTATTGAAGAAATCTCTTATTTATCATCGAAGGGGTATTACAAATACATGCCCTGCCAATTTGGTCTATCGGTAGAATTTTCTAAGGTGGTGGGAATTCCAGCACCTTTCCAACTCTCGACCTTC